GGAGATTGCTCCTCACTGATTTTATTACGGAAATTATCGACGTTTCCTTTCCTTTGCCGATATACAAAGAAATCCTATAAAATTTATATTTGGAACAACTCCGCAATAAATAGAGAAACTACAAAATAATATGTATATATTATATGTATTATTATAAATATCATTTCATACAATTATCCATGAAACAACATCTGAAGTAGTACCACTATCATTTCCGACGGTTCCAAGACGATGCAGTCGTTGAGTCGACGATTGATGGTGCCCGTGCGTTTACCAAAGCTAAACGCCAAAATAGAAACGTTAGTAAAAGACAAAATAAACAAAAACAATCTACAGGAAGCAACAAAGAAAATCACAGCCAAGCGCAGAGAAGCGTGCCTGAGAAAATTAGAGAGTAATTTTAACAATAAAAAATAAAACAAGCCGAAGGACACACGTGAACAGTCGACAACGAATTAACATTGACACTGGAGAAAAGTACAGCCGCGGCTGCCACGTCATCAATCAGAGCATAAGACAGAAAGACAGACTTTTGTGTCGCTGCAAGCTAGCGGCAGCGCGAAGAGGCACCTACGTCGAAGCAGTATATTTACACCTAATCGGATACATACACACTACCATAGTATATATACAATATCGCACCTATAGTTCGAGGATATCTGCTACACTGTGTACAGCGTACACGATATGCAATATATTACAGGTATCATAAGTATCAAAATTATGAGTTCATAGGCCGGGAGGAGGGGAGGGTGTATTTCATCGGATTTCATCGCCTCATTGTTCCTAGTTGCATAGGGACCATATACACCTCATAGTAGAGAGGTGCAATGTGTCCTGTTGCTTCTAATGATAGTTTATTAAAACAAGGATAATATTATAGTTAATAGAGCGAATACCCTAAGAACGTTGCTTAAAGTACGCTACACAGACTGTAACGAATATGGCAGACGAATATGGTAATACAATATGGCAGACACGTTGATAAACTGAACAAGTACCTGCACAAAACGTAGCAAATCTATCACAATATGCAACATGAACGCAGTACACATATGGCGTATGCAGTATACCAAACTGAATGCATTAACATTACGTAACATATAGATCACAGATTAACGACACAAAAGTGATGTACTACCTCGCGTAACGTGTATGGTGCCACACGCGTAAAAATATTATAACGCATGCACTACACGGTATACAACAGACACAGTATCCAATATGGTGGGTATACTTAGTTATGCTTCTCAGACAGTACGGTAGAGTCAATATACGACCAAGGTAAATACATTACGTAAATTTTAAGGTGCCACACTGTAGGTACTATAGTACGCAATTTCTAGTCGGCTCGAAGTCCAGGCTTTACGGCGCACTGTACCTCCACCTTGCTCGTAGTTGCCTGGTGGGTGAAGAGGTCATTTAAGCCGGCCACGGCACCATGATAAATGAGTAGCTACAGTGACAGATGCATCATGCATCAATTTATTCGCTAGAATCACCTCGCGATCATCATGAACCATATTACAGGAACTGGTTCTCGTTATACAGGACCGCATAAACATGATCAGTTCGTACGCCCGAGTATGTCAAATTATCCCTGATGAGCGCGAGGTGGCCCTTGTGGACAAAAGGATCTACTTGTTGGTGGTA